TTTTTGTCAAAAAGATGAAAAATTTTGATTAAAAATAGCAGCCTCATGAGAAGGTGAAAACAATGGGGTAAAGTTAGGCGTGGCTGGATTCCAGGTGATGTAGAAGGTGAAGTTATCAATGAAGTAATGAAAGACATCTGCCCAAGGACCACCACAAGGAAAATCAATTGTCTTTCATTCTTGTTTTCTTTAAATGACACAATGAAAAGAAATTTAAATATGAAAAAACTTATGAAGATTGCTCAGAATAAAACAAGTTGAATAATTATAATAAAACTTTTATAAAATGAAAAAATATAACTCACCCAAAAAAAAAAAGATGTATCTAAAAAATCATTTCAAAGAAAATAAAAAATGACAAATAGTTTTATGTGTATCCTTAAGTTGCTTAAATTTTTTTAAATGTCAAAATGCAATGACCATTTTTTTATTTTTAGTTTGCTGCACCTATAAAGAGAGAGGGCTTGCTCAATTTGTTCAAAAATAACATTGAAAAAAGTGCAGTTAATAAACAGAAAATACAGCAAGTTAAAATAAAACAAAATTTAGGGTTTTAAAATATTGAAACTGAGATTTATTTTACCGAGAAATAGAAAGAGAAATTTTAACAGAAATTTGGTGATTTTTGAAATGAGTATAATACAGAACAACCACTTCGAGACTTTGAAAAAATTACAATTCGCGCACTTGGGGTCACTAATGTAGATTGTAACTTTTTCCATATTAGATGATAGTAATGAATTTTTTAATCATAAATAAATAAATAACAAAGATAATAAATTTACTCATAGAAAAATCTATAAAAATAACTAAAAGAAATATTATCCTACTTCACCTTTCTATTCAACTATTTAAACCAAAACTTAATTAGATGTGCAAGACTCAAATTATTATGTGCACTTTAATGGTTTGATAATTTGTGGTTGTAATATTTTTAAAAAGCAGATGGATACAAGCTATTTACTAACTTAAAAATTAAATATTTGGCGAACAATGGGCTTAAAATTTTATTTGAAATAATAATTATTTTGTTAAAGTTGTTTTAAAAATATTTTTTTTTAAATTAAAAATAAAATTTAAAATCAACCAATTTAATTTTTGGCTTTTGGTATGTTTTTTAACCGAAATTTTGTTTTTACCAAATTTAATTTTTTTTTTTAATTATATTATTGGTTTAAATTTAATTTTTTGGTCAAAATTGAAACCAAATTCTGGTGGATCACTAATTTATTTTTTAAATTGTTTATATAATCTCAAGAACTCTTGTACTCATTATAATACTAATAATTTACATTTTAGTCATTCACAAATCTTGGTGTAGTAAGTGGATTTAATGATGATGGAGATATTGAAGTTTCTTATCCTAGTGGGAACAGGTATCATAAAATATCATAAATTCTTTGGTAATTAAAAATCAGATTATGCTAGTGTAAATATCCTTAAGTAGTGCATTCTTAAAACAGGGGAGCTTGTGTCCAGAGTTTTTTGTTATTATTTTTTTTTTATATTAAAATCTTTGATCAACACAAAAAAAACTTTAAAAGATTTTTACTTTCAAATCGGGTAAATAGAAAGCTAAACATACCCACTTCTTGCCCTTATGGGCTTGCACATCAAAGCCAGACGTAAGACCTACAGAATGTATTTCAATTGATCAAGCGCACACATTAGTCACAATAGGCCACAAGCTATCACTCTTACAATTTTTAGTGCCCCGATTTCTTTTTCAAAATTTTACTAGGTATTACTAATATATAATAACATTATATAATAAATACCAAATAAAATATTTAAAAAATAAATTGTATTTACTAATATTTTATTTTTTTTAAATATTATTTCAACATGGTTTCAATATTGTTTCTGCTATATATGTTCAATGATTTATAAATTCTTCGACTTGAAGACTTTTTTTGCTTCTTTTTTTGCTCCTTTCTGTAAAGCTGCAAACCTGTTTATAACATTTTTGGCAAGATTCGGATATCTGCTTATTAAACTGTCCAAGAGAGGCCACTTAAACCAACAATTGCGAGCTATTTACCTAAAAACTAAATAAACATACTTTTAAAATGTAAATCAATAATTTAGATTAAAATTTTTAAAAAATACTACAATTACCTCTCTGTAATAGTATTACGTAACTTTGAGTAAAACTTCTAATCAAAACTGATTTGTTTGGGTCTAGTTTATAGCCAAAGACACTGTGTACAATCTTATTAAACTTTCTCATTGTTTCCAAGAGAGGGCGCAGTTTAACAGATATTATCAGCTAAAGTTGGTCACAAATTTTAAGTATTTCTCCACATGTGTTTCCTTCATATGTTCCTCCTTATTACCTTTTCCGAAGGCATCCAATGCTCATTACCGAATTGGTAAATCCAGGCCAAAAATGCATTATAAACGATGCCATATGGTTAACAAATCCCATCAGAAGGTGAAGTTTTGGTAACAGAACTTCTTTTATTATAGTTAAGGATTTGTCCTATATATTGAGCAAACAAGGATTGATGACATTCTAAATATATGGAAATGTTTGTTATCCATTTATCACAAACAATAACTTTGAGATAAATGATAAGTTTTCAGTTTATTATGTGTTTTGTACTTGTTTATTGAAATGCAGATATTTAAATACCCTATATTTATTCATACTTTTCAATGGATACCCTGCAGATAAATACTTTTTATGGTGAACATTTAAAGACTGAAATGTTCTAGGCTCTCCAGAAAATATTTCAGAAGAACCTTTGCAACAAGCACAGGCATATTTTCTTCCATGAGCCTATAATTTTTATGTAATAATTAATTAAATTAAATATATTGTTGAATGAATAAAAACATATTATTGGGGGAAAAAAAATCCATTTCTTAAAATAATAACTGCACCATATGAAGAATAATTATAAAACAATTTTGATTAACTTTATATCAGATGTCAATTAGTATTTGCATTCATGCATCTTTAATCTCTCAACAACCTTTGTCATGTTAGAATGATTCTCGTTGAGCTTTTCAGAATAGGCTAAAACAAGTGATGAGTTGGTCCCTGAATATGTTTCTCTAGAACTGCTATCTTCTGCCCTGTCTTTGCTAGGGTCAAACAGATTTACTAAAACCTTCAATTTCCACTCTCTCTCTCTCTCTCTCTCTCTCTCTCTCTCTCTCTCTCTCTCTATATATATATATATATATATATATATATATATATATATATATATATATATATATATATATTTATATATATATATATATATATATATATATATATATATTATATATATATATATATTTACATTATTTATATTGCCAAAGCATCTACCTCATTAAAGCAATCTTTCTCTAAGCACTCTCTGGGATACTAAGTATAACATAAATATTTTACCTCCTTAATATTCACATAATACAATTTAAGTTTTAACATAATAAAATTTATTTGTTTTAAGATTCTTTACCATAATTATTTTTAAATATTTTTTGACCTGTTCTGAGAACAGTTTGAGCTCCTAGATTCTACTCTTGATCAGAATAAATTTCTTTTAGAAGAGACAAAGCTACTTGTTCCTTTTTTTTGAACTTTAGAAATGTTCTCAGTAAGATTTTTGTTAGTCCTATAAGGTGAACATATGTGGGATTTACCTTTAGCAATTTCACATAAGCATGTTTAGCAAAGTTTCTGTATTAAACTAGATCCCTGTTTCACACCTTTAATAAAAAATCTATTTCTTCCTAGACTGCATGTACTGTATAATATTGAGCTCTCAAAATTTTTTAGCTAATTAAATCAGCATTTTGCCACTTATGAGTAACTGAGCCTGAAATACTTTACAGAGATAAAAGTTTTTCTTACAACTAGGGCATAATCCTGCAGAGTAGGCAAAACTTTCAGTGAATACTCAAACTTACAGAAAACTTGAACTAGACCTTGCAAATTTGTATTCCATGGAATGCATTTGTTTTTTTTCTTAAGGCAGCAACCGCAGATGATCTTTTGAAAAAGTTTATGATCTCATTTAAAATTATATTCTCCACTCTTTTTAAAGAGCAGAGGACCCATAGTATTTAATATAAATAGCTAAAATAAAAAAAAATTAAATGATAAAAAATACAAAAAATTTCTCAAAAAATGTTTTTTCACCAACTTAGAGTAGATGTTGATGTAATAATACAAAACTAAAGTGAACTTAGTACCCTCTTTGTATTATAGATAAAAAATTTACAAAGTTTAACATAAAATTACAATCTCACAAACAAACTGCAACTAATGTGATGTATTAGTTGGAAATTTTATAATTATTATTCCATTTTTTTTAACAAAATCCAATAAACTAACAATCTTTGTATGAGTTTTGTGCCCATTTAAAATCAAAAGAATCTTACTTTCAGTAGCTTTTGTGTGTTTCACAAAATGTTTTATAAACTCTATGAAAAGATCAATATATTATGTATATTATTAATATAAAGTATATTTTATTTATACAAAATATACTATATTTTACTGTATATTAGTATTATAGATAAATTTTTTTAAAGGTAATTTAGGTTTTTTTTATAAAAATACCAAGATTTGTTCTCTTGTTAAAAAGTGAAGTCTTCTATATTTTAAGTGAAGTCTTCTATATTTTAAGTGAAGTCTTCTATATTTTAAGTGACAAAGAAAAATCTTTTTTTTACATTTTATTTGTTTGCATAAAAATATGGTTACTTTTTTATCTGTTAAAATTACTCAATGGCTTTCATCAAAGCATTGGAATCCAATGGCTAAACATTCCATCAGAGCATTGAATTAACATTAAAAACTATATTATTGCAAAAAAAACTATATGTAATCTTTCTTTCTTATAGGAGACGCCAAAAACAAATGTTTCCATCCAGCAGAGAGAGAACAAATAGCTCAAGTTGTTAAAAAGATTCAAAGCTTTTTACACAAAAAATTTAATTTTCAGCCAACCCAAAAATATTTCAATAATGTAACTAATTATAAATATTTAAATAAATTTTTTGTGGGGTATGTACAAATAAATTGTAAATTAACCAAGTTTTGCAGGATTATTTTTCAGTCTTAAATAAAGATGCATTAACCTCCCTGAGAAAGAATAATATTAATGGTTAAAAGAATGTTCAATACTTGGGTGACCTTTTACTCAAAATAGAATGAAAGTATAACTGAAAACTATTGTTTATTGTCAATTGTTAAACATATTTTTCTAAACCCTAATTTTTTAAAAATAATTTTTTTTTTAAATAAACCCTTCTTTTAAAAAGTAAACCTTTTTTTTAAAAAACAAACCCTATTTTTAAAATAATTCATATTTTTTTAAAAATAAACCCTATTTTTTTAAATAAACATTTGTTTAGAAATATTTTTTTGTGCAAATATTAAACAGAAAATTTTTTTACAGTTCATAAGCTTTCTATTAAAAGTTGTGAAAGATAAAAATAAATTATGATGGTGACATTTTTTACATTTACAAAAACCTCCCTTTTAGATATAGTATTTTTTTATTATTATTAAAAAAGAAGAGAGGTTTTTACCAGTAATTATAAAGTTATTTGGGTTTAAGTTAGAGATGTAATGGAGGTGTAACAGGGTGTATTAAAGGTGTAAAATCCTTTGTTTAGATCGCATTTCTATATTCTAAACGTATTTGTTATACATATTCTGAAACATTTTTCTTTTAGATGGATATTCAATCCATTTGTTTTTGAAACCAGAAAAACAATTTCTGCAACAAAAAAAATAAAGTCATCTGATGTTAAATCAAATTTAGCTCTACAAGATAATTCAGTTGAAACTGTATCTCAGATGGTTGGTTACTGGAAACCTGGTGATTTTGTGGAAATAATAATTGATCCAAAATCTTTAAAAAAATTTCAAGTTGGTCATGGTGGATGGGACAACAGTATGCAAGAAGTAAATCTTTTTTTTTATATATTTGTTAAATATATTACTTGGTTAAATAAAAATATTATTTATTTTTTAGTCTTTTTAATTTCCATTTTAATAATGTATTTGAAATAAAAAATTAATGCAGTTGGCAATAATTATTTATTAATTAAAAGAATTCAAATCTATTTATTTAAAATATAAATTGAAATATTTTCATGTTTTTTTGATTGCAGGCACCAGGTAAAATTTTTGCTACTGAAACCTAATGCTTATTGAGATAAAAATTTATATGATGAGTTACATAATTGAAAGTTTCTATAATTTTTTAACATTTTATATGATTTATGCTTTCCTGTCACCCTTTAAAATCTAATAGCAAAGCCTAAGCACCTTTAATGGGATATTGTTATCAATTCTTTCTGGCTCCTTTAATGGAACCCTATTATCGTTTTTTTCTCTTGTTCCTTTAATAGAATATTGTTGTTATTAGAGATGTACCAGAATTCCGTTCTGGCCAAATTTGTTATTTTTAAGTCATTTCGATTCCAGCCAGAATTACAATATTTCAGGCCGGCATTTATGATTTACTTTTTTTTTTAATACATGTGACACAGACTGTGTAAAATAAATTAAAAAATTACTGTCTTACACTGAAATCAAGAACTAAAGGTAAATCTAGGTAAAAAATGTAAAATGCTTAACAAACACAATGTAATTTTATTTGCAGTAAATTACTGCATTGGCAGATCCAGGATTTTTTTGGTATTTGAGATAACTAACTTCCAGACAAGGAGCAAACTCCAAACATTGTGTGTTTATACTTATGTCAAATAAAGAGGCTTTGCAAAAAATTGCAATGATTGAAGGCTAAGAACAAAAAAGCCCTTTGACTTCATACCCCTCCTCACCCATCCCCAAATGCGAGGGGCAACAAGTTGATAAATGTTTTTTGAACTTTTCTTAACTAGACTTATATTCATTGATAAATTTTAAGTTTCATAGTATTATCTTTCAGCGTTCAAAAATTATGACCATATAAAGGTTAAACACCACTGTGCTCTACTGAGACCGCCAGGGTAAATTTTGGTTTACTCTAATTTTTTTTGTTTAATTATTAATATTGGGTTTAGGTAAGTGTTTTAAAATAATTTTTAAAATCTAAACTAACTTTTAAACATATTTTTTTTGTAAAAATAGTTTTTATCTAAAATAACATGATAAAATTGAGATAAATTCCAGAGTTAACAATATAACGCCAATGCAATAGATGTAACAGTTTAACATGAAATATTGAAATTCCTTATAAAATTCAATCATTTCAAATTTCACAATAATTAAAAATTTTAAAAAAGGAGAGAAAAGGACTACTTAAAACTGTGTATACCAAACTCAATCACACTTTTCTTAAGCTGTTTTGCATAACTATTGTGTTCCAAACAAGGCTTGTATCCTTTCCATACTTAATAATGATAGTGGTGAGCACTTTCTCCTGGCTGCTTGGCATATACACCGCGCCCAAACTGACTATGCTGAAGAAAAGAAACAAGATGACATACTAAAATATGAACTTTCTAGCTAATATTTAATTTGTAGTTAAATTTTTCCAGAAGATGAAGCTGCAGATTTTTGAAAGCTTTTTTAAAATCTAAAACTGATTCAGCAATAGATTCTCCATTAAACATGCAAAAAAAAACTTTTGTTTTAATAATTAAAAACTTTCTGAGACAGCTAACTACAGGTTGGAAAAATATTTTATTTGGTAATATAGAGGCTGCACTTAAAAGAACTTCTAAATTATCTAATTTATCTAAAAGTCTCTATAAATTGTTACCATCCAAACCAGTTCTGTGGTAACCTTTAAAGATTATATAATTTGACTTTAGCCATGAATCAGAATCAGGCCACTGTGTAATTAATATTTTTACAAACATAGAAGTAATACCAATAAGAATGTGTAGTTCTGGTGGAGGAATGAGATGTTCTATTAAAGGTTCTAGAGATTTATCAAGGTACACAACTCTAATTCCATCATGTGATTTTTTTTGCATCCATCTTCAACGAACTTGCTGTTGCTGATATCAATTAAACTTAAGGTCCTTTTTTTTCCACTCTCAAGAGAACTTTCCCTTTCACATCAGAGCCATGCATACTTACCACTATAACTGCTTAAACCAAATAAAGATTTACCATAGTTACCACATTTTAGATCAAATGCTATTGAATATTTTACATCACAAAGAGCTAGTGGTTTCAATAGATTGCTAAGATTACCATTATGCTCTGAAACATATTCAACTAAAGTTAAAACCAATGATTTTTTTACACCAGGTTCATCAAGACTTTCTGAAGTTGTATGTTTACATAATGGATCAAAAACATTTATAATGCATTTAAGAAAACTCTGATTACCATCAATAGAAATCCTAGCAATAGTGCAATAAGGATTCAAACCTCTTTCATTAATCATGCGAAGAATTAAATCAGAAGTGTTTTTTACAAAGAGTAAACTACGACTTATCTCTTCATCCCCTGAAATAAATGATAAAGTTTCAACATCATAAAAATCTGAAAATATGTTATGCAGCTCCTCTATCTGAGTTAATATACTAGGTTCTAACATTTTCTTCCCTAGGTTTTGTTGTATATGTTTACAAAGTAGCTAGTCTTTCTATTTCCATTATAGTTTCTAGAGATTTTTTTAAAAATACTCTGCTACATTTATTATCAGGTGTGCCAACATAAAAAAGAAGAAAAAGTTTCCAAAAGTTTTTAAAGGAAACTTGTCTCCAGATTTAATCTCTTTTCATCTTTATTTTGAGAATCCCAGAAGCAACTTGCTCACAGGATACATTTCCAAGACCTATTGTAGAAAAGCAAGAAGGACATATCTTTTTAATAAATTTATTAACAATATCTTGATTATTTGTTGTGATCTGTTCAGATATTTCACTAAAATCAGATGATCTTCTGAGTTTTTGTCTGTTAATTTGAGATTATTCTCAATCCAATCATTTCATTTTGATGTTTCACCCCTGTTCAATGCATATAAATTTGTTTTGCAAGAATTACAAATGTTTTTTGGACTACAAATCTTTTTCTCCCCGAAATAAATTTTGAATATGAAGTTGTACTGCATATAAGTTTATGTGATCCTTTTCCAAAGGAAATTTAGCAACATGCACAAATTAGACATGTTTCGCAAGCCATTTTGAGAAAAAATATAAGTTTTGTATCATCGCTTTTAACCATAATAATAAATATTTTTATCTGTATGGCAACATTTTGTACCAATTTGAATAGATAATGTAATCATAAAATTGTGCAATTTATTTTAGACGTTTTAATTAATTAAATCTAAAATAAAAAAAGTTTAAAAGTTAGTTTAGATTTTAAAAATTATTTTAAAATACTATATTTAACCCAATAATAGTAAATGAACAAAAAAATTTAGAGTAAACCAAAATTTACCCTGGCGGTCTCAGGAGAACACAGTTAAGGGGGTTGCAAATTTTATATGGTCATATTTATTAGTGCTTTTTTTTTTTTATCAAAAATGTTACTTGCCTCTGAGAATAGTTTCATTTAAATGTTACTTAAATTTTAAATAATTAAAAAGAATAGAATGCCTAATATAGTAAATATTTTATTTTTTAAACTAAATAGAAAAAAAGAAAGCAAAGAAAAAATTTTTAATATTAATTATATTAATATAAATTATGCAGGTTAAAACCTTCAATAAATAAAATTATAAAAAACAAATAAAAACAACATTTTCGATTTAAATAAAACAAGAATCAAATTAATGAAATAGGTTATATATATATATATATATATATATATATATATATATATATATATATATATATATATATATATATATATATATATATATATATATATATATATATATATATATATATATATATATATATATATATATATATAAATATATATATAAAAATATATTATATAATATATTAAAAATATATAAAAAATATATATAAAAATATATTATGTAGACACGATGCTGAGGTGCAGGCTTTCTCTTTCAATATTGGAGGAAAAAAACTTAAAAAGTATTATTCTGGTTCCAGCTAGAATTTATTTAACAATTCCGATAAAGCTGGTTCCGGTTAGAATCCAAAATTTCTGATCCAGTACAGCCCTAGTTGTGATATCTTTCGTAGCTCTTCTAATGTAATAAATTAAGCATATAATGTCAAAAAGAAAATTACTCTTTTGTATTAGAAATTTGATTTTTGTTTAGATTTTTTATTATTTATTTTTTTAAACATAGGTATAAATTTTTATAATAACGCAGTAGTAGTGTAATGGTAAGAGCACTCCATTCATAAGCAAGAAGTTCCCAGTTCGATCTCCACCACATCCCTCGTAGTACCGTACTCAATATATTTCTCTATGCAGTGACCTTGTCAAGGCTTGTGTTGCAGAGTTAAAGAGTTGAAAGAGGGTTGAAACTAAAATAAATTAGCCTCTGTGACTGTAGTGGCCCTCTCAGCTTTGGGGAGGTGAATTACATTCAAGAAAAAAACATTAAAAAATAAAATTGCTTTTTTTTGTCTGTATAAATAAATTTTGAATTATTAAATTTTAAAACATTTTTTTTTCTATAAAAATAAATAGGTGTCTTTATTTATCCCAAAATTTATAACCTTCTGCAATTTGCTTGTCAAATAAAAAAACAGTTTTTTTTGGCGCAACAAATAGTTTAAGTTAACAGATATTAAGCGAACATAAAAGTTTTTTGTTCTTTATAAAAGTTTTTGGTTTTTGATGTGTTTATTTTACAAAGATTTGTTTTTAATTGTTAAAAGAGATTCGTTTTTCTTTTTTTTCAAGGCATTAGAAAATGTTGGTACTGTTATAGGTTATGACGAAGATGATAATTTAGAAGTTTCATACCCAAGTGGAAACAGGTATTTTTATTTTTGCTTGCATAGTTACTTTTAAAATTTTGTACATAAAAATAAAATTTTCCAAAGAATCAGAAAAAGAGTCAAAAAATCTTAAGTAATTATCCTAATATAAAGTTAATATTCAATTTCTTTGTCTTTTGTCTTAATGACTATAAAATCTTTTAGGCATTTAATCTTCAGAGTTTTGTATCCGTAATGAATCAATTTTTTTCCACTAAGGGTTGCTTTTTAATGAGACAAACTTGATGTTTTAAGTTCAATTACTTTAATTTTAAGAAGGTTCTATAAATTATCAACTGGATTTAGATCTGATGCCTGAGGAACCCAATCTAACATTTTAATGTTGTTTATGTTTAATGTTGTTTATGTTTAATGTTGTTTATGTTTAATGTTGTTTATGTTTAATGTTGTTTATTTTGAACCTCTGAGTACTTTAATGTGTTTTGGATTTCCATTCTGTTAAAAGATGAAACTAAAAGATAAAACTGCATTTGGGCTAAGTATGATTCATGTCAGTGAATCGTACTCAGCCCAAGGCAACATCATCATTATCGAATCGTTCTTAGTCCAAGTTTTTTTTGACAACTCTACTTACAAAGCTTTAATTTTTCAAGCAACTGCAAACAGTTTATGAGTTTACAAATAATACCATGATTATTTTATAAATTTTTTGGTTGCTTTTATTTTTTTGATCTTATTTTTCATGATATTTGTAATAGTTATTATTAATATTATTTTTTATTTAAGATTGTGGTAGGCTGAGCTAAGATATGACTGAGGCAGGTAGAAGACTAAAATCTTGATGTCATTTACATATTTTTAAAGTTAAAAATTTTTCTTTATTTATTTTACATATTCTCTTTTTCTTCTAATATAAATAACAAACATAAAATTTCAAGATATATAAAATAAAATAAAAAATTATATTTTAAAAATAAAAAAGAATTAGAAATAAATCATAATCAAGCTTTTTTTTAATATTTTCAAAAATTTGCAACTCAGCAAAAGAATAAAATTCAGAATACTAGATGATAAGTATTTGTTGTTTATATAAATAATAAGCAATAAATGGTCGAGAATAGATCCTGGGCAATTCTGCAATTAATGTTTACAAATCTGGTACAGGTTTTGTCATAATATAAACCTTGTTTACAATTATTTAGTTATGAAAAAAATCATTTAAAATTATTCTTTATTCTATAACTAAGTTTTTAAAAAGAACATCATGGTCCACAGCATAAAAAAAAAGTCATGGTCCACAACATTAAAAAGATATCATGGTTCACAGCATTAAAAGAATATCATGGTCCACAGCATTGAAAGAATATCACGGTCCACAGCATTAAAAGAATATCATGGTCCACAGCATTAAAAGAATATCACGGTCCACAGCGAGATTAATAAAAACTTTAAAAGTATAATAGTTGCGTTATAACCCATTTACAATTTTCTTAACTGTTTCATTAACTAATTTAACTACTGCATCTTCTGTTGAGTGGTTCTAAATCCATAATAGTTATTATTAAGAATTTTATAATTTATAAGGTAGTTGTAAAGTATATTATGCATTATTTGTTTGAGAATTTTTGAAAAACATGAGAGAAAGGTCTGTAGTTTTCTGCAATATCTTTTTGCTCACTAATTACTTTTTTTTCATCATCAATGAAAGAAATACTTTGATTATGAATTCCATGATCTTTCTTTTTGTTTCCAATCCTTTATTATATTCCAAGTGTTTATATTTCCAATCTTTTAATATATCCCAATTTACAGAAGCAAAAGTTTTTTCCAATAACCTTTGCTTCTGTAAATTGCATAACTTTTCTATAATTTGCATAACTTTTTCTGTGAATTGCATAACTTTTGCTACTGTGAATTGTCTAATTTTTGCTTTTGTGAATAACTTCTTTTGCAGGCTTGCCATTTTTGAGAGAAATCTTTACTAACATATATATCAAGACCCTTTAGTTTTCTTGTGTTTTTCAATTTCTAATCCAGTGACAACATTTTGCTAAATAATTTCAAATCTTTTATTCAGATTCATCCCAAATTTCATTTAGACTTTATGCGATTCTCTCAATCCTTAAGTTATTTCGACCTTTCTTCAGAGGTTCTTCATCTTGGTTAAAATTTTAATATAATTTGAGTGTTCAATATCTTTAGAATCATTATCAGCTTTTAACTATTGGTTGATTGAATATTCATTGAAATTTACTCTCTTTTTTATATCTTTCATATCTCTTTCCAATGAATTAGTTTTATCACAATCTAATGATTTTATTCTGATATTATCCAAGTTAAGTACTCTTTTAATACTATTTTTATTAATTTTTTGTGTTGAATAAACATTTCTTTTAATTTTAATAAAATAAAAACAATTTTTAATTTTTTACTGAGTTTTTAAAATTGTTCACCATTTAAAGCTTAGGTGCACATTTTGTTCAACTTTCTGAATAATTTATTCAATGCAAATAATAGTCTTAATAGGAAATTTTGTTTTTGTAAAACATTTGATGGTAGCCATTTTTTAAATATTTTTTAACGATGTTTTCTATACTATTAGGCATAACATTTGCTGTTTTTGAACTAGTATAACATCTTTTTTATTTTTAGATTACTCCAGGATCAACTTTTTTATTGATTCCTGAAGTTCACTTTCCACCATGACCTTACTATCAAGAACTTATAAAAAAACTTTTTATGATAAACAGTTAATTGAATAACTTAAATCAATCAAATTTGTTTATATTTTATTAATTCAATTTTGCTAACCCATAAATAGAAAAGTTAAAAAATGATTTGGTAGGGAAGGGGGGGGGGAATACACTTTTTTGACAGAAAAAGGTAGAAACCTTTTTCTGATTCACTGGATTTTGATTTTTCTGATTCACTGGATTCCTTTTTTAAGTATAAGAATATGAATTTATTTGTGACAAAAATAAAATGTTTAAAAATATAAATATTCAAATTAAAAAGTAATAATTTTGAGTAAAAGGTTCAAAACAGAAAAAAGTTTATTTTTATTGAAAAATCATTAAGGGGTACAAATTTTTTGGCATTTAAAAAAAAGTATTTTAAAAGTAGTGTAAAATTGAGTTTAAATGAATTTTGTTTTTTAGATGGATATTTAATCCTGTAGTGTTTACTTCATTTAATGCTGAGGACATTAAACAAAGGACGATCTTTTCTGCTTTTAGTGCAATTAACAATGCAGAAATTTTAAATTTCAAGTAAGTCATGTTTGAATATCTTTAAAAATCTTTTTAAATTTGCAACAACTTTGCTATAAAGAAGTTCTGAAAAAATGCATGTTAAATGTTCAAAATGCTAACATATAGTGATATATCTTAATATAGTTTCTTACTAACAAAATGTATTAATCGTTCATATTTTAAGAAAATTTTAAAACTGTTGTCCAAATGCAACATTATAATTACACAAGTTACATCTTTACATAAGTGCATCATTAGTATTAAACTACTTAAGAAGTCAAACAATATCGGACCAAGGATAGATTCTTGTTGTATCCCAGAAATTACTAGAAATAATGAAGAGTCTTGTCCAAAAAGGACAATGCTCATCTTTATTAATGACTTTTAATACTGCTATTAGTAAATAGATTTTCAATAATACAAATAATATCAAATTTGTTAGCCATCTTTTTTTTAGACATCTTTGAGCGAGTTAAAATTAGTTGGAAGAATATATAAAAATAAAAAAAAGAAGAATATAAAAAAGAAGAATATATAAAAAGCAAAAAGAATCTGGAGATTTTTATTTCTTTTCTTCTAATAACAAGTGTCTGAATAAGTCTAATGACAAGTGTCTGAACAAGTCTAATGACAAGTGTTTGAATAAGTCTAATGACAAGTGTCTGAATAAGTCTAATGACTAAGTCTTTTTAGGAAGTGTGTGATTGCATGCTTTGGTGGCTTATAACTGAACCTTATTTTGAAATTTCTTAAATTGTTTTAAAACATCTAATCAAAACATGAACTACTAATTTTTCAATATACTGATATTTCAATCAATTGAATTTTCAACCTACTGTTTTTTGGATTGACTGAATTTTCAACCTACTGTATTCTGGATTGATTGATTTTTCAACCTACTGTATTTTGGATTGACTGAATTTTCAACCTACTGCATTTTTGACCTACTGGTTTTTCAATCGACTTTATATCTAAGTTTTTTCAGTATATATTTTGTATATTTTTTTGGTGATTTGAATCAAAGCTAAATTTGATTAGCCTATTTGATTTACCTAATCAGACTAAAAATAACACCTTAAAAATGCAAAGAAAAAATGTTAAAAAACACAGGCTAGTTTGAAATGAATGTTGCCTATAATTTGCTGAAAATTGGTTGAATATGAAAAACTGTTAGAAAATAATTCGGTCTGAAATAAGAACGAAAGAATAGAAACTAGAAAAATTTTCAAATTAAAATGTAAAAAAATAAGAACTCATTAACACTGTCGTTATGTAATGACATGTCATTATTAAAAACATTAAAGAGACTTATGAAATCTCCAGAATGAGCTTTTGCTTTTACAGGGTGAAAAAGTTTACAGCAAAGTCTACAAAAGCAAAAATTTTGTAAATTTGGTGGTACCTGTAATATTACCTCTGTACCTCTGTAATGTCACTTCTGTATCTGTAATGTCATCTCGGTACCTGTAATGTCACCTCTACATCTGTAATGTCACCTGTACACATACACTTGTAAATAATTGTTTTCTGTTTTTTTGGAAGTGAGTTGGTTAAAAATACATTTCTGATAGAAAATATGTTGTAAAGTTTTGAATATCGACCTCTTATTTACCTAAATTTAAAAGCTTTTCCTTTTTTTTTAATCTTAAACACAATCATTTTTATTTAGCACAGGGTGAGTAATAGACTTAGCATATGGTTACTATCAAAGAACAGACTAAGCACATGTTGACCTGAAATTTTATTATTTAGTGATATTACTACTTTTAACTAATATTAATATTAATTGTAATAATGAATTAATTATATCCATAATATTTTAAATTGGCATATTACCAATACAAAAACTGTTGTTAGAAAACAAACAAAATTGTTAACTCTCTAATATATTAGGTGTAAAATCATTAAAATCATATGTTATGATGTTATTAATATTTATTAACTAATAATTTTAACTTCTAAATAAACTCAAGATTTAAAATATAGCTCAAACTTAAAGTTGATATAGTTGTTATTTTTAAAGTTGATAAAGTTGTTATTTTTTTCTGGAACCAAATTAATGGTTAGATTAGTTTAGTTATATTATAAACGTTAGTTAAGTTATATTAGGAATATTTATTATAATAGTTATATTAGATGCAATAAAGCTGCGCTTATTTTTATTATGCAATAAAGCTGCATTTAGAGAACTCGCTTGAAAAGATTAATTGCAATAGGTATAAGTGTTTATGGTTTTTCAATTACATGCATAAATTCAATAGATCAGTGGTTTAATGCGTTGTTGTTGGTGTCTTTTTTCAAGGGTTCAAACCCGCTCTATACACAATATATTTTCAATTTTTTTAACCTGGCCATATGTATTTATAGCATGAAAATAAATATAGCAAAAAAGGCTTTCAATTGTTAAAATAAAATTTTAAAGTATTTTCTAGCTACAGGCTTTTCTTTTTTATTTGTTGCCTCTACAGCAGCACTTTATGGAGTAGCAGGACTTATTAAGTTTTTTCTTTTTTAAGTTTCAGACCATAATTTTCTTTTCAGACCATCCACAGCTTATTAGGACTAATTACCTGAGCACATTGATAACATAAGTATCTCTATGATGACAAACACAATAAGTTTCTCCCAGTGTTTTGATGTTTTTAGAATTTTTAGGCTTTTTAAAAAATCTCTTCCTTTGTTTGTAATAATATATAGTATTTTTATATATTTTTTTGTATATAATATCTATAAAACTTCAAAAGTGTTTTATTTAGTATTTTAGAAAAATCTAAAAAGATTAAAAAAAAAAGTGCCAATGATAGGATTTGAACCAGGGCACTTTGCTTCAGAAGAACTACTACTAACACTACTATTAAGTTTGGCAATAATATTAAGAGATAAATTAAAAAAAAAAATGCTTATAGTATTTTAGTAAGCTTTAGCTGTGCTATATGTAGAGCATATATGAGATAAAATATATAAAGCAGCATTTGTGCATATGTATTCATTTGTTTGTTACAGCATTCTTAAATTTTCTAGTGCTAAAGATGGAGGTGTACATAATTGTAAAGCATGTTTAGAAACACCTGAATTCATTTTAAAGCCATGTTATCATCTTGCAAGATGCGCTGATTGTGCTCATCTTGATGAAAGTTGTGCAATTTGCAAACAGTATGTAGAAGAAACAAAAAAGGTATTTTAATTGTATGTATTTAGTGGGCCATCTTAATAAATTTATTCCATCTAAATCAACAACTCTTTTATTAGGAATCTTTCTTGGGCTGATATTTACATCAACTAATGTTTAATACATCAAAAAATTTTCTTTATGTTATTTTTTCTTTATGTCTAACAATGGATAAACCTGTTTCTTTGAGAAGAAAGAATGTGCACTCCTGAATTATATCAGTTATTAAATGATAGAATTATTCCAATTATTAAATTATGAACTTATTGCAATTTGCTTATTAGAAATGTATTCTTTTTAAATTTTTTAAGAATAAATTCTCCAACATTCATTAAGTATTTTTAATGTTCAGTATGTTTCATCAATTTTCAATAAGAATATGTTCTTTGATGGTCGTTACAAATATTTTCTTTAATATTAATGTTCTTTAATATTAATGCTCTTCAATTTTCATAAAATGATTATTCTTTTCTTTCATTAAGAAAGTATTCTTCAATGTTTTTATGTTAGCAAAGAGTTTTTAAATTTTTATATTAGTACATTTTTCTTTTATTGATCTTTAAAAATATTTATTAGTGTTTACTAAAAGTTTATAAACATTTTTTTAAATAGTATATTTTAAAGTTTATTAAGGTTTTTGTCCAAACAATATAAATAAATGAAATTATTTTTCTTTTTCTTAAGTTAGGCGAATTAATGTGTGAGCTATGCGATGAGAAGGCTGCAGCCATACTATTTAAGCCCTGCAATCATCTGGTTTTATGCAATGGTATTGTTACATTATTATCATATATGAAAAAATAAATGTTTTATAATTATTTTATTAAGTGTGTACTGGATTAAAAATTTTGAATTCTTGTCGCAACCAGATTTGCCGAAATTGTTGAAAAAATTTTGGCTGGAACGAGATTTATATTTATGCAGTTTTACCTTCAAGATTGAAAGTGAAAGCCTGCACATATAGTTACTGTATTAGGCATCCTATACTTTTTCTTTATTTAAAAGTTAAGAAACAAAAAAAATGAAACAATTGTCAGACGCTGGTAACATTTTTGATGAAAAAAAAGCTTGTTTATTGCTAAAAACTGGATAGCAACTCTTTTTGCACCACAATATTCCTAAACTTTTAGAATTCTTTACATAAAATTAGGCAAAGCTACAGATATGCCTAATTTTAATATGGTCTAAAATAATTTTATTTTATTGCTTGTTGTGCTTTCGTATGGAGACTTGCTCAAAGTGGTGACTATATAATATAAACATAAAGAATATTTATTGGCTTTAGTACATACATCGACTATCTTATAGCCTGCTGCTACAAGGGAGTGGTGCTACATCCATTATCGTAAAGCCTGCTGCTACAAAGGAGTGCTACTACATCCATTATCTTATTGCCTGCTGCTACAAGGGGGTGTTGCTACATCGACTATCTTATAGCCTGCTTCTAAAAGGAAGAGCTGCTACATTGACTGAGGATTTGGAATAGGGCAGCAATCTTTTTTCTTTTATTATTTCAATTGAAATTTCCAATGTTTAAAAGCTCTCCACTAACGAGGGAGCAACAAGCAAAAAAATGAAATTATTTTAGAGTTCTAAACTATAGCTTTACCTAAAATAACATAGTATTTGTTAAGAATTTTGTATTTTTTTACCTAGGTTTATCCATATTTCTTCATTTCCCTGTAGGATAATAATTTTTTGATTTAATTTATAGTCTTTGTCAAATGTCTTAAATAAATAAAGTAAAAAATAAGTTCTGGCATTCCCGTCTGAAATATTATAATTCCGGCCGGAATTCCAGTACATCACTATATTTTATACAAAGTGTAATTTATTTCTTTAATTTTATTTTAATTTTCAAAAGAATATAAATGTATAATTTATTTTATACTTTTTTTTCTGTGTTGCATGCTATTTCTTGTGAATTTTAGTTTTAAAATTTACTTTATCATTTTTTTATGTTTAAGGATGTTCTCGCAAAAGTAAAAAGTGTACAATTTGTAAAAAAGTTTTTTTATGTTTAAGGATGTTCTCGCAAAAGTAAAAAGTGTACGATTTGTAAAGAAGTTATAAATGAGAAGATTACTATTCTTTTGCAAGGTAAAGTTTTTAGTTACTTATAAATAGTTTTTCCTTTTGTTGTTACTTATAATTTGCTGAGTTTTTGTTGTTTAAGCTAACAGTGATTTAATTTACATAATAATTTAGTTTCCTTGTTTAATATTTATGACTGTTTAATGTTCATTAAACAGCTTTGTTTATTTAAAATTAGTTTAATGTTTGTAAAATCTTTGTTCTATGTATGTTTTTAGAAACTTGATGTTCAGTTTTGCCAATTTATTTTTGTAAAGTTTTATTATTTCAGCAGTTTTTTTCTTTTCTCAGCTCTGAACTGTTGCAAATTAATTTTTTGATGAAGATTTTATGTTTCTTAACAACTATGTTGCAGCAGATAGTAGCATTTGGATTAGGCTAGAAATAGGATTACCCACATTTTTAAGTTTAGCACATCTTTTTTTTAATCTATTTATTTAACCATAAAATATGAAATATTAACAATAATATTTTATAAACTCACATAAATAAGGTTAGTTGTCACTCATATAGTTAAAAACTAGTCAATGGAGTGACACCTAAAAAATAACAAAAAACAAATACAAAAAAACAAACTATAAATGCAAAAAAAAAACTATAAATGCAAAACAAAAAAACTATAATACAAAAAAAATACTATGTATACAAAAAACAAACAAACTATAATATAAAGATTTAGTGATGAATTGAAAACCTCTTTTCTTTTTTTTCAAGAATGATTTTCAAGAATATGTATCAAGTTAGTTTTTTTTATGCAAACATTACCTTTGGCTTATATTTTAAGACACTGGCCAATAGTTAGCGACCAAGGTTGATATTTGACTGGGGCCAGGGTTGGGTTTGATAAAATTTAGCCAGGCTGTGTTTGTGACCGGGGCTACATAAACATTTATACATCCTAAAGTATATTTTTTTATTCAAAATTCATGTTATATTTTGTATATATATGCAATATAAACATTATTATGATCAACATGATCATCATAATTATTACTACCATCATGATCATGATCATCATCATTATCATCATCATCAGCATTACTTTTACCACTACCATTTTCTCTGAAGCTGCTACCTCTCTACATGCTGATACCTAAATCACTTTAACCTTCTCTACAAACGTTGTTCGATACAACATTTTTTTCTAATTTGTCTAAGATTATGTCTCCTTTTTCTTGTCTTGATAGAGTCACACCACACATTCATCTGATTATCTTCTCTTTCAGTAAATACTATACCATATAAATACTAAAGTTTATATAAATATGAAAAGATATTGTATGCCAACATCTAAATAAATAGCAAACATATATGTTTACATCTATATTATGTATGCATAAAGCTTGCTTTATTAAACAGTAATCATTTTTTTAATCTTTTTTACAAGAACATCTCTCATAAGAACAAATAATCTTTTGTTATTTCAAAAAGTCAATGTAAAAAGATCCTGTTTTATTTTAAGCTCTGTTATTCTCAGTTTACTAAATCTTGTATCTTATCTCAGATGTTAGGTTCTAGAGGCTTTTGGTAAGTCTTCAACAGTGTCATTAACTAAAGTAAGTCTAACATTAATTTTCTAATTCATGGGTCTGATCTTTTTACTTCTCCCCAGAATAAGGTAGAGTTATTTGTAAAAAAATCTTACTCTAATTTGACTCTTGAATCTAATGTCCATACACTTCCTGTCAGTTAAACTGATTATACTCTGGTCTTGACAAAATATCTTCACTTTTGCTTCGAACAAGCAACCGGTTTTTAATCTAATCTCTCTTCTGTAACAGCTCAGGCTTGTGGTGGCTTGAAATCCACAATTTTTATTAGACAACAAAACTCATTTATTTACAGGAAAAAAATATTGCCATATTGTTGACATTCCTATATTGACGAATAGCAACCCTCTTACTCTCAGACAAAGTCTAAAAGCACATTGTAAATGTAATTAGACCTGTTTTATCTGCCAAGCTTAGCCACTCTCCCATTGTTGTAGGGTTGCATTTCTTTCTTTTTTCTACAAATACTATCATGGTCAATGCTCAAATAAGCCATCATCACTATTATGATAAACCAAAACTCATTCTTACTTGGCTTCTTATTCAACAAGTTGCATCCTTTTACTGTATCTGTCCCTTCATGCTATAAAAACTTTTATTAATCCAGTTTTTTTCCTTGCACATCAAAAAAAACCTTACAACTCTTACCTTCATGTTTTCCTTTTTTTATACAGCCTACAACTTTTTAAATCTTCAGTTAACCATTTCTTAGTATTTTAATCTATCTTCTATTTTAAAGTAACTCATAACTTAATAGTAGTTGCTTGCGACCTTGTTGGAAGTAAATTAGAGTTTAAAAGTATATAAACATATGCCAGTGTATAATAAATAGTAAATCTATGTATAATTTATTATACAAAAAGTATTATAATTTTGTTTCTAGCCCCGGTTATCAACCCCTGCTAATTCTTATAATTTTGCTAGGGCCGGGGCTGGGGCCGGGATTGCAAAAAGTCTTTTTTTAGCTGGGGCTAGTCACATTCTACTGGCCAAATGGCATTTATAGTTGTAAAAAACTTTTTTTCTGAAAATGTTGTTTTTTGGGTGTCCTAAGTATTCAAAGATATTGTTTTTTAGGGTTACATATTTTAAAGCTTTAAGTGTAATCAAAGAAACATATACCTAAACATATTTCCCACTTCTACACATAGAGTTATTAGACATTTTAATGAAGTTTTTTTCATAGTAAATTTTTTTTATTGATTAACTAAACTCTTTTACAATAGACCCAGGTGGTGTTTCTAGAATTATTTTTATATTTTTCTCTGAAACTTATTAGCCACATTTTTATTTCCCTTAAACTTATTAGCCACATTTTTCTTCACTTGAATAAGCGCATGAATCATTAAAAATGTTGAACCTTTTGTTTTTCATTAGTAAAATAAATTTTTATGTAAACTTTGTCAAACAAAATTAATGTAATGAAAAGCATGGAACTTGCACATAAAAAATTTTCTTTTAAAATGATAAGTCTTAGTAATTTAAATTACTTTTCAAACATGTTTTAAATAAAAAACTAATTTAGATTTGATTTAATATTCTTTTTATAAAAAAGTTTGTTTATAGTTATGGTTTTTAACTTTTTTGCTCTATACTATTTCCTAATCCTGGATTTCATTTTTTTTAAATTAATAATTTATATTTTTAATGAAACATTTCTTATTTGTCTAAATTTAATAATCATTTATTTTAATTTTTTTACTTCACTTTTTTTACCCATGAAAAATTACCCAAAAAATTAAAAATATCAAACTACTGATTATCATAGCAGGTGACTCAAGTAAGACTGTTTCAGTTGCCCGCAGGTCAACTGAGAAAAAAATGGAGGTCCTAACTCTGATTTATAAAGAAGACTTCAAGTAAGCACATAAGTTGAAAATGACTTTAAAATGACTGAAGACAAGATATAGACTTTCTCATTAAAATCTATGATTTAGATTTCTTTTTTCCAAGACAATTTTTTATTTCAAAAGTCTTATATATAAGCTTAAAATTTGTTGATATTTTGATAGTTTAAGTTCCCAAAACGTTTTAGTCTAATGATTTAGTAAATAATTAGTTTTAAAGACTGTTCCATAATTCTTTTGGTTGTATAAATAATTTTTATTGTATATTGTAAACTTAGATGATAATGATCAAATTGATACAATGAAGGTGAAAGAAATGGAAAAACAACTGAAAGAATTACAAGAGCAGGTAATAACACTATGAAATAAATTTTTGTTTTTATTTTGTCATTAAGTTGAAAGTATATTTTTCTAACGCATTTTTAACCACACACAAAAAAGAAAATAGCTGTTTATTTAATAATAATTGTGTACATGTACAATAACAATGTCCGCAGCTTAAGTAATCAAGGCTTTGACAACAGATTTATGTTAAAAATAATTCCAACTTTTAAGCTTTATAAGTGTTTTAGAGTCTACAATGTTTTGATCTAAGTTACTTTTAATGACACGATTTGTTAATAAATAGTTTCTCTTTGGATTTTTCGTTCATTGTCTATAAATCTTCATATTATTATATATTGTCTAAAAATCTTCATTTTATGATATCTTCATATTATGATATTTTAAACTGTTAAATCAGGTGGGTATTCCAATGTTAAATCATCTATTTTTTTTATTATTTTGTAATATTAGATTAAGTCATAACGTTGGCGACTTTTTTCAAGAGTCGTTAATTTAAAGTAGGTTAGTCTTGTCTCATAGTTTTTCCCTTGAAGACATTTTGTTGGTGTTGCTTTATGTTGTATTGTTTCAATTTTTTTTGTCTTGTTTTGAGTAAAGAAACCACACTGAATTTGCATAGTCTAGGTACAGTCTTACAAGAGAGGTGTACAATAGTTTACGAATAATATATTTGTATATATACTTAGTATTTTTGCTACCTATATGCATGCGTTTACATTTACTAACATTAAATTTTAATAGCCATAATTTTGACCATGTCATTAATTTGTTTGAATCTTTTCTATATCAGAAGATGATCTAATATGTTAATTAGTTTAATATCATCAGCATACATTTTACACTTCATTGATAACTCATTCGGTATATAAACAGTAAACATAAATGGACTCAAGACTGTTCGTTAGTTAATAGATTGTTTTTTTCTAAATGCAACATAAATTAAGATTATTTTGCTTATGACTGAAGTAAGTGATACTGGTTGATAACTAGATAGATCCGATTTATCTCCATTTTTGAATAATGGTGTATTATATAGCATGAATATTAGCATCGATGGTATTATTCCAGTGTCATATGGTTTATCAAAAATAAGTGATAAAGGAAATGAAAACAATTCTGCACAAAACTTTAAAGGATATGAGTAAGCTCCATCTTCTCCTGTACATTTATTTGTATTTAGTGACTTCAGGATTATAAAAATTGTGTCTGGTGAAAATGTAGTGTCATCACATATAATGTTTGACCTACTTTTAAAGAATAGTTTATTGTTATTAATCTCCTTGGTGAAAACAGAGCTAAAATAATTATTAAAAGAATTTGCTATTGATAAATAGTTTGTTTCAAGTTTGCCATTTATATTTAATGCGTTAATTCCTTCTTTAACTTTTAATTTTTTTTTTATATAAATGCTTATGAGTTTTTCTTACTGTATAAAGCGATGGTTGTTTCATATATTTTAATTTAGTTCTTAATTTCTTTTTTTACTTTGATTCTAACAGATTTGTATTCTAATACATTTCTAATATATCAGCTAAATGATTAAAATCATTTTAATTCAATTTTGTTAATATTAGGTCAAGAGCATTAGTGGATTTTAGTTCATTAATTTGAAAAGTTGGTTTCATTGTCATTCAAATGTCATTCAAGCATTATAAGAACTCTTGAGAAGAAATATCTAAACTATTAATTAGTTCGTCAATGTTTTCTTTATTCCATTTAATAGAAAAGTAGTTAAAATTTTCACATCAATAGGCTGTAATACTTCTTTTTTATCAATAGATTGTAACTTCTTTTCAGATAATATGTTTATTGACTCAATTGATTTTGACTATTTAAGTTTGTTTTTTCAAATATTTCATTGATGATTTTTTTGTTCCTGTCTGTTGATCATATTATTATTATCATCATATCTGATACTGAAATAATAATTATTTTAATTTTTTTGTTTTCTTTCAGTGTTCTTTTGGTGACATTCTTCTCTTAAGAGTTTTGCTTTATGTCATTCTGCTTCAGTAAAGTCAGGATTTATAAATACTTTTGAAAACAAGTTATCGTCTTTTAATACTTTTGAAGACTTTAAAACTTTATTTCTTTCATGCATATCTTTTAAGACAACAATAAAAGGTGGTTGATTTTCATTCCTAGTTTTTACTTGATAATATGTTCTATATTAAAATTTGTATCAATTTTATTAAGAATATTTATCTCATTATTTAAGTCCTCGTCAAATGTATCTTTATTTTTATTTATAGATGCTGTTAAAAATAATTATATTTTTTCTCACATTTTTCACTCTTTTGATTCTTTGGCTATTGCATTTATCAATTTGAGTTGATTCATTGATTTTACCTTTTAGTCCAAAGCTCCTTTTTGCCTTTTTCATCATTACAATTTTTACCTTTTAACTTTGTTATTAGTTCTTCTACTTTTTGATTTTTTTCATTTTTTTTATTTAATTAGTTGTCTTTAGCTTTGATTGCTTTTTCTAAATTTGATTTTTTCTAGAGCCTCCAATGCAGCTTTTAATACCATAATATTAAAAATTTATATACTTTTTTCTCCTCAAAAAAACCTCTTTTTGAAATTTATGTTCTATCAAGAAAGTTCCAAATTTGTAATGAATGCCAAGCTAGAATATTTTATTTTCTAGAATATTTTGAATTGCTAGAATTGTCCAGAAGGTCCCAGAATTTTTCAAAATTTTCTAGAATTTTCAAGTAACTTTTAGAACTTTCTAGAATGATCTTAAACTATTTAAAAGTAGTCATACAAGTATAGAGGCAAGAAGTGCAGGTGAATTTCAACATTTCAAAAAGCACATGTGACATGAAGCACAAGCGAATTTAACCAACATTTCAGTTTGTGATATTGGTGAATAAAGAAACAACAAATGGTATTTGAAGAGCATTATTTTTTTTGAATGGCATCAGGAGGTTGTTTTCAGCTATTAGATGCATTTTGCTATGTGGACAATTTATAAAGAGAAGAGCAAAAAAATATTTTAAGGAAGCAAATTGTAAAATGTGTGAAATCTTTTGTGAATTATTACTATCTACTGGTGAATAAAAGAACAAATGGTATTTGAAGAGCAATTATTTTAATTAAATCAAGAGGTTATATGAAGATGAAATACCTAATTTACCAACTAATTTCCTTCCTAATTTCCTTAATAATGATCATATAATGCATTGAAAGTATTTAGAGCAGCTAGGAGCATCTAACTTTTTTTCAGTCAGTTAAGGACGTATTGATCTTTGATCTTTTGCAAAATGGAGATGTTATAAAAGGTTCGTTTTTCAGGCTACATTAAATTGGAGTTATGTTATTACTTTTAATATTTTTTATTAAATGGTAGATTTTTTAAAATTTATTAAAATTATAATTGCCATTAAAAGCTAGATTTATTTAGCTTTCCAACAATATATAATAACCCACGCTTCATTTGATTATTTAAACATAAAAGAAAATATCTACAAAAAAATACCTGGAGGCAAAAGCAATTTTTTTATCTAAATCTGTAACTTTAAATACCAAAATTTTTAGAATTACATATGCCAGGATATTTTGGGATTTTATTATCTATTGCGTATGCTTTTAATCTGTCTTGCTTCATGCAAATTAAAGCCAATATTTTTTTGGTTTTTGGCCACCCTGTGCAATTTGTTGCTTTAAATCACTAAAAATGGATGCATTGCAAATCTAAACAATTTGCATTGCCTGGTTTTTGAGAAGCTCTCAAAAAACCAGGCAGTACATCTTTGTTTTATCCAAAAACAAGAAGACAAGTTGATTAGCGGAAGCAAGCAAAAGTGTGTATGAAAAACAAAGAAAAGAATAAAAAGAAAAAGTTTTAATTTTTGCTCAAAATTTAATAAGAATAACTTAAAAATTAAGTTGCTATTTAAATTTCCATACTGCATATTAATACTTTAATTTTTTTTTTTAATGTTGTTTTTGAATCTAACAATATTTACATTGAAAATTAACAATGCAATGTTAATATGCATTTGGAATCTAACAATATTTACATTGAAGATTAACAATGCAATGTTAAAATGCATTTGGAATCTAACAATATTTACATTGAAGATTAACAATGCAATGTTAATTTTTATATAAATTTATGTACTGTATAGATACTATAAATGCACTGTATAGATACTATACGGAAAAAATGTTTTAGTGCAACCTCTGCATAACCAAATTAAAATAAATCATCCAAAAGAATATTATGTGGAACCAAATAAAAGTGAACAGAACAGAGCAGCTCAGGCTGTCAATAAAATCACACCAGTAGTTTTGTCAACTGGTACTACAGTAAACGACAAGATTGTTTTGGAAACCTCTAAGCAGATTCCAATAGATAAATATTTAAAGTCACAAAAACTATGGAGCATTAATGACTCTAGGACTCTAACTAGGAAACTATTCGTCGTAAAATTGGGTTGATGATACAGTCATCGTCAAATTTATAGTTGAAGAGGTTTTATAACTTAATGCATCATTTAGATCCCAGGTTAGCCAAGTTGAAAATATTTTTCTGAAACAATAATACCTCAACCTCACATGGAGTTAAATAATAAAATTTCTCACAAATTAATAAATTCAAATTATATAAGGTTTTCTTCAGATATATATGGACATGCCCAATTTCTCATGAATTATTTATTTCATTGTCAAGTCACTGCATTGATAAAGATTTTAACAGAATTGATGTGATATTACATGTTTCTCATTTTCCTGAATGCCATACTGGAATAAACATATCCAAAATGTTAGAAAGTATGTGGGATAGCTGGAAAATTAAAGTTGAAAGACTTGTAAGAGACGGTGCTAGCAATATGGTAAGTGGAAGTAATCTAGCTGAAATTCCCTCAATCTATTGTACATTTTGCTTCAAATAGTTGTTTCATAAGTGAAAATATTGTAATTGATGTCCAAAATGTCATCCACTTGTCATTCTCATCAATCATTCATCCCTAGCATGTAACAACTTTCAATCATTCATCTCCAGCATGTAACAACTTTCAATCATTCATCTCCAGCATGTAAAAACTTTCAATCATTCATCTCTAACATGTAACAACTTTCAATCATTTATCTCCAGCATGTAACAACTTTCAATCATTCACTTCTAGCATGTAACAACTTTCAATCATTCATCTCCAGCATGTAACAACCTTCAATCATTCATCTCCAGCATGTAACAACCTTCAATCATTCATCTCCAGCATGTAACAACTTTAAGCAAATTCAGCAGCAACAAAATCTTCTTTGTCTTGTTCAAGATGTTCCATCAAGATGGAATATATGGAATATCTGATGCTTGGAAGTTTAAACAAGTTAAAAACTTCAGTTCAACTTTAATTAGTAGAATGTTCTGATTTACTGACTTTTTTCTACATTTGAATAAACATTTTATTAAATCATTATTAGACATAAATAAACTTTTAAATCTTTTTCTCAATTAACTAAAAAAATGAGTTTAGAAATAACAACTTTGTCTTCTGTAATTCCAAATATGTACGAAGATTTCATTAAAGAAATTTATGTCAAACTTGATTGAAAAAACAAAAAATCAACTTATAACTTCTTTAAAAAATCGATTTTTTGCAGAAATAAATGATTTGAAGTCTTTAAACATTTTGAAAAATAGGTACTATGTCATAAAAACCTCAACTGACCCAAGATATAAGTTTTCTTTCTTTGAAGATGATATTAAAAAACAGGCTAAGTACTGGTTAATAAATTAAATTTTATCCTTTGAAAAACTTTATTATGAACATCACAATTAAATTTTTCAGTTAATACTGAAAAAAAAGAAAACACTCTTCAAGCATGTTTCAAAGAAATTTTAAATAAAACGTCTGAAAAAACATTACCTTTCAAAAAAGTTGGACAAAATATCAAATGGTTTTGATTAGAAAAGAAATAAAAAAGTTTTTTTCTGAACCACTTGTAGACAGAAAATTCTGCCCAGTAAACACCTGGATGCAAGAAGAACAATTTGCTCTTTTAAAAACAATTGGTTCAAAACAACTATGCCCTCCTGAATCATCCATATTTTCTGAAAGATTGTTCTCAGAATACTCTCGAGTCCCTTATACAAGGGAGGGGGGGTGACATTTATTAATTTTTGGAAAATTTTCCCACTCACCCCAAGCTAATTAAGACCTTTACGTTTATTTATTTTTACTTGCTATCAAAAAAAAAAAAAAAAAAAAAAGGTGAAGATCGCCCTTAAAAATTAGAAAATTTTTATTACAGTCACTAATAAAACAAAATTTTCCAGTTAAACAGACTTTAATTACCAACTAGGTAAATCCCGATTTATCGAAAATGGACTTAATTTATTTTTCACCAAAGTATAAAACTTATTAAATCCTATTGAAATATTATAAAACAGCTGTTAGAAAATGCGAATTTGACCGGCAAGCCACGCTAAATTTAAAGTTTTATGCGTATTTTATAAAAAATGTTAGTTTAGATTTATAAACTGCAATTTTTTATAAAAAATACTTATATTGTAACATAAAAAAATCCCCCCCCTCCTTTTATATTCCCCCACCCCCCGTACCCCACTCCGTTTATTAAATCTGGACTCAAATTTCCACCCCCTTCCTTTTATTCCCATCTCCCTTGTATTAAGGACTCGAGAGTATGGTAATATCTATAAGAAAAAAAGATCTAGCTTATTGCCCAAAAACAAAAAACAAAAAAAAGGAGAACAGATTGACTCTGCATTTACTCATTTGTTAAAATTTTATTTGTTATATTCTTTGATAGTATTATATCAAAGACTTTTTGCTTCATTGAATTTATTCATTTGAATTAAGAGGAATTCATAAAGTATGTATGCAGATATAGGAGTAGGCATTATCTAAAAGTGTCCAAGTGTGTATAAAAGTGTGTTTTAAACAAAGACAATCTTTATTGAGTAAAAAGATCTATACCAAAATATCAAAAGAAAAAAAACAAGTTTTATATGTAATCTCAAATAAAGCATACTAAAAGCAAAAAAAATTAAACATTAAAAAAAAAATTTTTTTTTTATTATTTGATAAAAAATTTTTGTGTAAAAAATATTTTTTTAAATTTTCAATTTCGGTCATTTTTAAATCCTAAAAAAAAAGTGTCGAAAAGTTATGACCGTGTCAGGTTTTTACCCTGCAAAAATGAAAGGGTAAAAAAATTAAACATGGTCAACTTTACATAAATTAATTGATGAAATCTAAAACCCCGATGAATCTAACTTAAGCATAAGATAGTGTAATGAAACAATTTATTAAGTGATTTCCCTCGTATTTGGTGTAGGTAGTCGAGATAAACCTTTGAAGTTCTCTATTTACCATTGTTTTTTAATGCTGACATTCTCATTCTAAACAAGCATAAATATACTTAAGTTTGAAGTTTGCACAAAGATTGATAGTGTCGCATCTAAAACTTGAAAAAAAAAATCATGTTTGCGCGCATTTAGCAACGTGCCAGTAATTTATTTAAATTTAGAGTGCTCAAAATTAAATTTTCACAAAAAAAATTAATTTCCCCCACCCCCTGAAAATCTTGATGTAAAATTCATGAAAAGACTTATTATAGTTTTGATAACTTTGTTCTTTAATTTTTTGTTGAACCCCTTTGTTTGCCCTTTTTGCTAACCTTGTTCTGCCCCTTTGAATTATCAAAGTATTTTAAACATTTATCCTGTATTTTAAGTATTTATAATTGAATGTTTTATAGTTTTAGCTATTTGTATATTTTTTTTTGTTACTTAGCAAAGTTGTAATGTTTGTATGGATCGTCCGAAGAAAATAGTTTTTAAACCATGTGGACATTGTTTGTGTCAAGAATGCTGCGAGCAAGTAAATCAGTGTCCAAGTTGCAGACGAGATATTGAAGAAAGACTTCCGTTTTATCTTTAGTTACCGCACTTCATACTAATGCTTTTTTTTTTTAGGATTTTTTTTTTTAGTTTTATGTTAACTTTTTTAAGTTTGCAGAATTTATTTGTATCAAGTTTTTTCGTTTGTCTGAAGTGTTTTTCTTTTTAAAGGTTTTTGTACAAGAAAAATTTATATATTTTTTTAAGTCTATCAAATAAAATATTATTAGTTGAAAATTTCATAAAACAGATTTAATTTAGACGGCGTAGCTTTTATTCTCTTTACATTTCTTTTAGCTGGGATCTCGGAAGCTTTTTTTTTTTCATTTTTTGAGAAATGAAAGTCGTTAATGCAAAGTTAGTCCTGAAAGCTGATCTGTTCTTTGTTTAACTATATTAAATATAGTTAAACAAAGTACTACTACTTTGTGGTACTGTGTGGTACATTGTAACGATTGAAGCATTCAAAGGAAATGTGCTAAGGTTTTGAATGGCCATTTTATTAGTTTTTTGACACCTGACTATTTAGTTTTCCTACATTGTGACAATAAAAAGCACGACAATTACCTCTTGGTTATCATTTAAATCCAATAGCATGTCTCGAAATAGCTGTAGTTCATACAACCTTGCATAATCTTTTGCATGAGAATAAGCAATAGAACCCGAGTAGCGCAAAAAGTATTATGTGCGTAACTTGGGTTATCAATCTGTCTTTATCAATTATTAGTCCGGCATAGACTAATTTTTAACTGCATGTATAGTTTCACATCTTCATTTATCAGCGGCATCTCAAGGCTAAAGTTGTTAATAGAAAAAAAATGTAAAGTAGATAATTGTATTTTATGATTTAAAGACTGATGTTTTAATATAAATAAAAATATGAAGAAATATAAAGTATTAAAATTTTAAAAAGTGGTTACTGATAGGAAATCAAAATTTAAAAAAACATGCTATCGGCACAGTTGAGGAAACTTAATCCTTTATTAGTATTATCCGGTAGTGGTGTAGTGGTAGAGCGCTCACTTCATAAGCGAGAGGTTCCGAGTTTAATACCCACCACGTCCCTGGTAGTACCGCGCTCAACTTGTTTCTCCGCGCAGAAGTTCGTCAAGGTTCGTGTTTCGGAGATACAGAGTTGAGAACCACAATTAAGTAGCCTCCTCGTCTGTAGTGGCCTTCACGGCCTTGATTACCGAAAAATATGGTATTTTTTCTTTTTATAGGTATATTACCGAAAAAAAAAATTGTATTATTGAAATATACCTTTCAGCTTATAGTTTATGGTACATTTTGAATGACTTTGTTAAGATTATTAAATTCTAGCATTTCAATACGTTTAGCCCTGAATATGAAAAAGTTCATTTTTTCGGACATTTATTGTCAGGTTAGGCTATCGTAATACTGGTAATATGTAATCCAGTACAACCTGCTTCATGTCCTGCTACCTTTTGGGGTACGCTTTTTAGGCAAAGACTTGGAGAAGCCAACTCCGACTTGAAACAAACTCTGCCTTAGAGTTCATGGTTGCGTTAGGCTAGAGATGATGTCTCTATAAAAATAATCATCTTGGGCAGACGTTAAATGTATCCGGCTACTCTCTTGTAGAAGGCCTTCTAGGTAAAGACATTAAGGTAAACAGATTTTATCTGTTGACCAGCCTTGTATCCTTTTTTTTTTTTTTTTTTTTTTGTTCTTTTCTTAAATACTCAATAAACTTATACAATAACATAGTTGAGATAAAAGTCGTTATATAATAAGAAAAATATAACAATATATATATATATATATATATATATATATATATATATATATATATATATATATATATATATACATATATATATATATATATATATATATATATATCGTGGTTAGAGTTCTGGCTCAGAACCCAGAGGTCCTAGGTTTGACGTTGGCTCTAGCCCAATAAGCGACATTGGTAAAGACGGAGGCGCGAACTTCTAGTTAAATGCTCTCCCGCGGTGCTCCGTGATAAGACCGTAAGGACTTCTGGGAGCACCTAAATAACCAAAAAAAAAAAAAAAAAATTTCGCAAGAATATATAAATAAAGTTGGTATAAAGAAATTCTTGATACTTTTATATATAAATACAAAAATATTTTAAAAAGTACTGTTTTCATAAACCAATAAGATGTGGATCAGATATACTATTATATATTACCTTATGTAATAAGCTTCATAATTATTTTGAGAAGCTTTTAAAAATATAAAAATGTCTTTAAATTTTATAAAATAGTTTCTTTTGTTTTTTTTTGAATGAAAGATAATTCCATTCATGGGAAAAATCAAAACTTTTTAGAACTATTTTGTTCCAAAGAAAAGCTCCTCTATACGAAATACATGACTTTCCAAAATTAGTTTGAGGAAAAGGTTTCTGAATTAGATTATCATTTCTTAAGTTATATTTATTTTTATCTTTTAAGGTGGCACACAACTGAAAATAAGTTTTTTTGTAAATAATCAAAATTTTGATTTTTTTTTTTTAATGACAATTAATTTATATTAAAATAAAATAACAAAACATGATAATTTTTTTTTTTAGTTAATTTTATTATCCATAATGGCCAAAAATGTGTTGTAAAACATGTGTTTTTAGTAAATCTTTAAAACCTAATAACTTAATTTGTCCTCAACAACTGAAACTAAAATTTTGAACATAGCTTCCTAATCATATTTCACCCTGCTTGACCGTGGGAATTTTTATGACTTAAATTATTTCATGAAATATTGCATTTCTAACAAAATCACCTAATATATATATATATGAAACATCAATAAATCCAGCACTATAAACATTAATATTTCACTTTCTATAAATTTTTATGAAAATTCTGAGGGTTAAATGAAGTATTATATTATGATAAACAAATCCTGAAAATCTTATTATGTAATTCTGTTTTGTTAATGAGAAAATGTGTTTCAAAGTTTAAAAAAATACATATTGAGAAAAAAGCAAAAATAAGAAAAAAATATATAAGAACATAAAAATTATCAAAATCCACCAGAGATGTAACTATCAGTTGTTTCTTTTATTTGCTGATTGTCTATGAAACCTTTTTTAACTGCTCTTATTTTTTTTCTCTGCATTTAACTTTTATCAGTTGGCTTTGACTTTATATGTTGAATTCTGGTTTTGTCAACTTTACTTGACGAAGCTAATGTAACAATTCAATTCAAGCCAAAGTATTTCAAAACTTCTAATACACCATTAGCACTATCATTATAATGTATCACTGCTGAATATGTTCCCATTTCAATTGTAGACTTACTAACAAATGTGTGCTTTGGTATGCGAGACCATATAATAGAATTTAATGCTTCATTGGCATTTTGCGTCATTCCATGCAAACATTTAATTAGAAGATCATCAGCCTGAAGATCCTTGATGATTGGTAAAATAAGATTCTTAATCCAGATAGGTATACATGATTTTGATTTGTAATTTGTATTATTTAGAGCCCAATATTTGCACCAACTTGTCAATCCTCTTGGGCAAAACTGATGTTGCATTTGCTGGTTTTCAAAGTTGGTAAAATAAAATAGCATCAACTGCCTTTTTCATAGCATACAAGTTGTTGACATTTTGACGAATGGCCATGCCATAATAGTTTTGCATAGAATTTATACATTTTTCTGTTAGGTTACCTCTACCTGATAAAGTTGTTTTAGTGCCTTTGTGTGCTTTGACTAAATTTCTAAGTCGTGTACCCAATCTTTTTTGCACATGACCTACATAGTCAAGTTTTATTGGAGTGATGTCAAAATCCTGATAAGAGTTTGAGTTTTTGACATCTTTGAATGAAGAAGTGTCTCCATCACCAAGAAACTCTTTATAAATTAGATTTTTTTTTTTAACTGAGCTATTAAATTGTTACTGCTCCTGCAGACTCCATACTTCAAGACAAAGATTTGTGATTTATTTAACATTGATGATCAATTATCCAACACTGATATTCTGGAGTTCCTTTTTTACTGTTCCACATTTTACAGCCTATGCAGCACTTGACAAAACATAAATATTAATGCATTTATCACCAGAAATCGCAGTATCTACACCATGCAATGAATTGTGACCGCGTTTCTGCCATGTACCATCAATTGAAACTCATAAACATGGTATATCCTGAGCAATGTCAACTTTTTTAGAGTCCTTAATCGCTAAGAACATACTTTTCTCTGAAGCACTTTTATAAGCTACCATAATAGTTTTGTTTAATTTTTGAAATCCATTTTCAGATACACATTTTAAGTTCATGCAAGGTGAAAATGTTTTTATAGCTCCATAACCACAGCCTACTTCTCGAAAAGCTATTATTGCACGAATATTAACATCATATGGTGAGTTAGCTGTTACTGCATCAAACTTAACATTTATTGATTTGTTTGATGAATTGAATCTTTTAACATAATCACAGTGTTTACATTTTAATTGAAACAAATGTGCAAATCCTTTTCTACTGGAATCAACATCTGTTAAAAGTAATGGCTGAAAGCAGTTGTTTTATGCAGTTTTAGCTATAACTTATAGCTAAAACTGCATAAAACAACTGCTTTCAGCCATATAGTATAAGTTCTTTAAGAATCAAATTATCTTTTCAGAATCAAATGTATTCGAGTATTTGAGTTTGATTTTTCTTTCACTAGAACAGCTACTTGCTGCTTGAGTTGTGGACGATGTCATCGTCGATGATAAGATGTAAGTAGAAGATGATTTTTTATTTCCAACAACACCATTCCATTTTCGTTTTATCCTTCTTGATAAATTTTGTTTAGTTTTATTTCCTTGTTTATTCATTTAAAAATAACTTTATTCCAACTAAATTGAAATCACTTTTTAAATTATTTGGTATAAAATGAGAGAAAAGTTTCAGTATAAAAGACTAACATTAACAGATTAAAAACACTCTTTGTTCTTAAATAAAATTTTGAAATATGACTTTTAAAACGGAAAACTAACAAGAGTCTGCGTATAACAAGTTTGTGATGGTGCTTTACAGTTTTGAATTCAGAAAAACTCCTATGACTGATGGTTGCTAAGACGTTGCTAGGGAATTTATTTTAATCATCTACTAAAATGATATTAAATCAACTTTTGATATGATATTCAATTAAAAAAAATGATACTAAATCAACTTTTATATCATTTTTGAGACTAATTTTTTTTTATATGTTCAAGGAATGGTTATAGAATCAAAATAACCGAAAATCTAAAAATTGATTTTTTTCAAAAAACTTGCTTTTTTTCAGTTGTGTGCCACCTTAAGGTATGCAGATTATGAAAAGAAACAGGAGATGCGTTGATTTTACATTTGTAAATAAAATAAAGTATATTAAAAGTATTCAGCTGGTAAATATTAAGAATTTTCATTTGAAATAATAATGGTTTGGCAATAAGCAAATTGATCTTTATAATTGATAAGACGAGTAACATTCTTAATCTATTAGGCTGGCGCAGATGTATTTATAATACATTGTTTCCAACTAATGATGTCGAGTGCTGAATCTTTTTTACTCAATGTATGGGTTTTGTTTGTGTCTTTATTTT